TAGAAAATAACCACAAGTAAGGTGAAACCAATTTTATTTTACAAAATATAACATCAGCAGTAAAGACATTAAAAGCTAACAGTAGTTGTGGGATAGATGATATACCATTCGTCATATACAAAAACCGTGGCACGCATATAGTAGTAGTATTATTACTTAAAGTATTTACTATCTCACTAGTGACTGAAACCTACCCTGAAACTTGGAAAAACACATATATATTACCTAAGCATACAGGAGGGGCCGAAACTAGTGCATACAATAATAGGCCTATCAATATAGCACCTGTCATATCACGGATCATGGCGAAAGTAATCGAAGACCAAATGTTAGATTTGTAATACTTAAATGCATCAACCTGTCACAACACGGATTCCTCAAGAAAAGATCTTGCGTCACTTGCCATATAGACTTGTGGAGTCCTCAAAAATAAACTTATCCAAATTTTACTACTATGTAAGAAATGAACATATTGTACATCACTTTGTTTTAACCATAAACTCTGTACTTTAAAACTTTACCTCGGGTTTTGAATAAATATATAGTTCTGCCTTCGACTCTCCGTCTTCTCCACCATCTCAACTGCCGTCGATCAATTTTAATCACCTGCTTTCTATCTCAAATTTTTGCAGGAGCACCGTAGTTCTTCCTACGTACTTTGGTCGACCTCCGGCAACGTCAACATTGGAGAATTAGTACTGGAGCAGTCTTCCCGCAGCACCTGGAGTCTATTAGGTTTATTGTGGACTTTGGATCTTTGTAAACCCAAGTAACCAAACTTTAATACATTCTTCCCGTAACTAAACTGATTTGGTACTTTATTTCCTATTTGAATTTTGGTAACTAAGCTAACAGAGTAAAAGGTCCACCACAGACTTTTTCAAAAGTTGGTTCGATTACCTTCAGGCCTAGACCAATCACCAGGAGCTTTACCTAGGGGAGTGTATTGCCCCCCTTGTTTTCAGTATATACCTAAACAGTATATGCGAATGCTTCAGTATAGGCGACCCGTACTGTATGCAGATGACTTAAAGGTGACCCACACATGTACAAATACAGATATTGGTACAACTATGAAAACCATACATGAAGAATTAATAAAAAGGGGTAGATGGTGTAACTCCTGGAGAGTTAAGTTTAATGTCAAAAAGTGTGGCTGGTTCTGTATAGGCTGTTCCAACATATAACTCGACCTAGCAAATCAGGGCCACAAAATCCCCAGACTCGAATCTGTACTAGACCAAGGACTGTAATATTCACACAATCTATCATTTCCAGGGCATGTTTTGAAACACGTATTGAAATCATGAAGGCTTATTGGTTTCTTACTCAGGAACTTCTACAAAACTGAATCCAGATTAGTACTGTACAAGGCTTGTGTTCACCCACTCCTAGACGACTGCTCATTCATAACAATTAGTTTACATGTAGAAGACTGGCTAAGGGTAGAAGGAGTGCAGAGGTACTTCACGCTAAACATACTCGGAACCGAAAACAGCACAAATTACTCCACCAGGTGTGAAATTCTAGGACTAGAATCATTATGGTTAAGACGACTGTGACTAAATCTAGTACTCTTCTATAAGCTTCTTAACCACATAGAGTATACTCTTGCTAATTGTACGCCGATTCAGAGAAGACACTGGATATAACCTTAGAAACACTGAAGGTGCAGTGCCTATAGAACAATGTGAAAAACCCAACAACTGAAAGTTTTACTTGATGAGTTATGCCCAAATATGGGATAAACTACCAACAGAAATGCGACTGGCAAGCACATTGGTCTCCTTTGAAAAGAAACTTAATGACACACTGAGTGAATTTGCAAGTGATACCAGTGCTTATTCCCATGTAAGACTTTCAGAAATCATAGGCCTATTTAATGTATGAACTGAGAGACTACATCAGCTGCTCATTTTGCCTCTATTTGTAACTTCAGACAAAATAGCACCAGTCAAGACATTAATACTTATACAAATAAGAGTCGATCGAATTATGTCTTCCTGACACAAAGGGTGAGCTATAACCAACATACGAACGAAATATGAGGAAACAATGTCGAAACTTACCACAAAATAACATGGAAAGATATCAGGTAATTGAGCATTATTTATAATCTACCAACGAGTTCACTTGCTAAACAGAATGCACTGATGCTCGGTGACGAGGAACTACATAAATCCACAGATCCCATTGTATATAAACAGTGGAGGTAGGAGTCAACGAAGTAATGCATTTAAAGCACACGGGACACTTTGTGGAATATCTCAAAGTCGTAGAGTAACCAAACCATACACGAGATGTAATTGATTAAGTCCGAACGGCAAACAAGTTGTAGTACACATTTAGTTACTCGTCCACACAGTGATCATAATGACGAATCCATATCACTATCCATACAGCGACAAAAAACCTGGATATCTTTAAAAAGTATCATATCTGTGAATGGATCAAGAAATGCAATAATAAACAGTTATCTCGATGAGTTTATCTACAGGATTGGGTTTAACATGAGAATCAAGACTCCTATGAGAAATTGGGAGGTTTCTTTGCAACACATACGAGAACGTTGTCCTTTGTAACCATTTTTCAACATTGCATTCCTCATATATGAACGACTTATTACAATTATTCGCCGATTTCTTCAGGGCAGCCTGTAGACGGCCGTAGGTCATTTGATCAGTTGATGGATATTGGCTTTATTTAGTGAAAAAACCTCAAGGTTAGGTAATTTTTCGTTGTTTTACACACTTTTTTACTTATATTCCTGCTAAAAGTTGATGAAATACAGAAAACAGCAAATGATAGTGTCCTATCCGGCCGTAGCTTACATCCAGTTTACAGTTTGTCAAAAATACGTACTTTTCCGTTCAGAAAATGTCGAATTACTTGAAGACACATGTTAGAAATGACTTTTTGTGATTTTTTTCTCAGTTTAATGGATTACACATGGACATGATGAGGTGGGATAGCTCGTTCTAATAATTGTTTCATCTACTTTGTTGTGCACTTTTCCTGATGCTGGCAAGGCTTCTCCACATGTATTTCTTTAAGGAAAAATCTGCAGAAATACTTAGAAATTATATACGCATAGTATTTCCTTATTTTATGGTGTAAACTTGGTGTTTGCAGACAGATGCGATATCGATTTTGTATTCTTGAAAAATGTTGACCGACGTAGTTATATACAATTCAACTAATTATTTCGTCATTTCAAACATATTTCATGGTTAATTAATGTGTTTACACTGATAACTAACGTGGCGGCCTGCTTGAACATAGGGCTACCAAAAATTCCACCTTACAACATTTTGCAAAATTGCTTTGGTTTGCTCTTTTAATTTTGTTTTAATTTATCAATAATGTGTCCTAATCGTATTATATATAATCGCACATTTTTAAAATCATTACAACCTACCGCGTTGTGTCATCCACAAAAATTGAGAAAAAAGCATCACTGTGGCTGGCAGCGTGCACTGAAACTTACACAAATTAATCAAATGACTTTTCCTGAACTCGTTAGCACTAATTGTAGATCCCTGTCCAACAAAACGGATTACCTTCAATCCCTAATGTATTCCAATGTTTATCGAAATGCTGGCGTTTTAGCAATACAAGAGACTTGGCTGCACCAGCATTATGATGATAATCTAGTTTCAATTAATGGATATAAAGTTTTTCGCCAAGATAGAAATAGTTCCAAGAAAAAATATGGAGGAGGGGTTGTCTGTAGTCTGTGGTGATTTTAATTCATGTGATCACAGCTTTCTTACTTCGCTTGGTCATGAGAATCTAGTCAAGTTTAATACACGTCTGGACAAATCGCTAGACCTGGTTTTCATAAATGACCGTGATGTATATGAAACCCGAAGGAGAGCTCCTTTGTTAAATTCTGACCACTGCATTATTCGTATTTTACCGAAAGTGTACGGCAAGTTACAACGAAAATTGTTTGGTCATTTAACAAAGAAAATACATGAACGTTCATATTCCCATGACAACATTCTAGCATTAAGAAGCATGTTGCATGATACCAACTGGGAACTATTTACTGAAGATAAGTTGGATGCTACTGTCTCTAATATAACCGATTATCTGAAGTTTTGTTTGGATATTTGCTGTCCTTATGAAACACTGTTTTCGAGTTTTGACAGAATCTCTTCTGTGCAACTGAAAAAACTTAGAAGACAAAAAGAGAAGTTGTATAAGAATTGTGATAATACTGGTGTCCGTAAAATAAACACCCTTATAAAAATTGAAATAGAAAGGTTGAACAGACTATATAATGAAAAATTTTATCACGTAAAAATCCTTCAAACATTTGGAAACTTTTCAATAAACTTACAAGTAAAAAGCAAATGTCTGTTGATGCTTATTCTGATGTTAATGCTTTAAACAAATCATTTATCAAGAAACAAAAAATAATATGGTTGTACCTGATGTACCTAGTCAAGAAAATGGTCATTTTCCGGGTTTTAAAGAAAAGGATGTACTATTATGTTTGAAATCATTAAATCCAACACATAGCCTTGGTCCAGACGGTGTACCAAGCATTCTTCTTCAAAAGTGTGCAGACATCTTGTGTCATCCTCTTACTCAAATCTTTAACTCATCATTTAACAGGGAAACGGTACCTCCAATATCCAATATCCAATATCGTTTTTACGAGCTAGTATAAACCAATTTGATTTCTTTGTGCTCGCTTCTTGATTGTGAGGTATAGGTTCTTGATCTTCGGTAAACTTCTGCGTAGCTTGTCCCGCCACTCGACTGTCGTAGCTTTGGTTGACTCCAAAGGGAGTAGTGCTGGGATTAATTATATGTGGTTTGTAGTATGAGGTATGTTAAGACTGTTACTACTGTGATTGGAGTTGATCCTTTCGCCAGTTAGTCCTTCGGTATTGTCGACAAGAGAAAAGAGATAGTAATAATAATAATAATAGATATAATTAGTGAAGCTATTCAGACTAAGAGACAGAAACGAAAATAGGAAACGTAACAACAGTCAGCTCATGAAGTTTGAAGAATAATATATATATCGGTAATAGTAATAATAATAATAGTAATTATAATATTAATAAGTTGTCAGGAGAGTAAGACGGGAGAGAATGTAAAGAAGTAAAATGACGAGTTTAATTATCTACCCTGATTGGTAAATGCGATTTTAAGGAGATAGGCCATTTGGATGCAGTCCTTGTATCGCTGCATGGTTGTCCAGCCTTCGCTTAAAGGCGTCCAAAGACGGTGCCATAGCTACATCTGCCGGTAAGGAATTCCAGGGACGACAAACCCGCAGTGAAAAGAAGTGGGAGCGCACCCGGGTCCTTGCCCTCTGGTGAGCTATCCTTCTGGGATTTCCACGTGGAAGCCTATACCTACTCAATGGCAGAACACCTTTGTTTGGGTGATTCTGGTCATTTGTTATTTTGTAGGCAGTAATCAAATCCCCCCTAAGCCGACGGTAACTAAGTGTGAACAGGCCTAATTTCTTCAGCCTTTCATCATATGGTTTGTTTCGGAGACCAACCACTCCTTTTGTTGCCCGTCGTTGGACTCTTTCCAAGAGGTTGGCATCTCTTCTCAGCATTGGGGGTGCAATAATATTATGCACCTCAAGGTGTGGCCTGACGTATGTTTTGTACAACATTAGAAAGAGCTCAGGAGTGAGTGCACCTAACTGTCTATGCGTAAAGTGTATGACCGCATATGCCCTCGCTACATCCCCTGTGTAATTTACGCTTGTGTCCATTTTTTCCGTTAGAACTAGACCTAAGTCGCGTTCCGACGTTGTGCAGGACAAGCTTTCATTGCACAGGGTGTAACTTGCATTCTGCAGTCTACAGGTGCGCAACTTCACTACTTTGCACTTTTTCAAGTTGAAAGTCATGCCACTGGCCACCGCCCAGTCTTCCAGAAGGTTTAGGTCTTCCTGTAGCCTATCTGAGTCCTCCGGACACTTTATCGCCCTCCATATTTTTACGTCGTCAGCGTACAGGAGAGTCGGGCAGCTCAGACGGCGTGGTAGATCATTGATGAAAATCAAAAACATCAGTGGTCCTAGGATAGAACCCTGCGACACTCCTGATGACGATCTGTGCCAAGATGATCGGACTCGGTTAACCTTAGTGCAAAATTGCCTGTCGGCTAGGTAGTCCTTCAACCATGACAGAAGTGGCTCACCTATGCCTGCCTGGCTTATTTTATGTAGGAGAAGGTCATGGTGAACAGTGTCAAATGCCTTCTCAAAGTCTAGGAAGACCACATGGACTGGTACGTTCAAGTCCCAGCATGATGTCCAGTCGTCCCAAGCTGACAGTAGGTTAGTGACGCAGGATCTGCCTTTTCTGAAACCATGTTGGGCTTCATGCAGTATATTAGTCCTATCGAAATATTCCCTGATGTGGTCGTCAATAATACTTTCCAGTACTTTTGATACCACTGGGAGTAGAGCTACTGGTCTATAGCTAGCAGCGTTTTGCCTGTCCCCACCCTTGAAGATTGGAGAAAGGATGGCTCTTTTCCACTCCCTTGGCAGGGTCCCCGAATCCATTGAGTGTTGGAACAAGTCGCACAGGGGTCTACAGAGAGCCTCGGCGCACTGTTTCAGAACAGATGGCCTGATGTCATCACAACCTGGGGACTTCCCAGGTATGAGTCGCTGTAGCTTCCTTAGTACTATTGCGGGGTTTATTTGGGGAGTAGTCGCTAGGTCTTCCTCCTCTGAAATAGTGGTGCCACCATTTTGGTCCGTAACTGTAATATCCACATTGCTGTTTAGCTGTTTAGCGAAGGCTGAACTGAATGTTTCAGCCATCTCCAGACTAGTGAGATATTGACCGTTTGGGCCTACTAAGGCGCATGCCCCTTGGTTTGTCGGTTTTCTTTCCGACATGAATCGGTACAAGTTTTTAGGGTTTGATAGGAGTTTTTTAGCAAGGTTAGCCTGGAATGACCTTCTGTCCCTCCTAACTCTTGCATTACACCGGTTCCTGAGTTCGAGGTATGCATCATGGTCGGTCTGACTCTTAGATACACGCCACGTAAACCAAGCCCTCCGCTTTGCTTGCAGAATACGTTGCGTGCCTCTCTTCAACCATGACGTCTTTCTCTTAGGCTGTGTTGTGACTAAAGGGACGGTATCCGAGATTGCTGCATGGATAATCTTTTTTACCACTTCCCAGTGTTCATCCACAGATAGGTCGTCCCATGCTAAGGGCCAGTCTGCGTCGGACAAGAGCCTCCGCATTTCAGCATAGTCAGCCTTGCTGTAGCACAGACATGGTCGCGTAACATCCCATTGCAAACGCTCACGGAGGACAAGATCGAAACCTATGACTGCATGGTCACTGCTTCCCAGAGGAGTCATGATCTGGACCTTTTCGACGAGTAGCTGGTCACTAGTTAGAATATAATCTAGTTTTGATGACTTTCCACTAGGGCCCCACCTAGTGTCGTCTCCAACATTCTCAGTCAGTCCCGTGTTTCGAATAGTTTGCAGTAGGTTTCGGCCAAATTTTCCCTTAGCACACCCGGAGCCAAGGTTCAGTGATGGAGCATTGAAATCTCCAGCTATGGTGATTTGGTCGTAGCCCAAATCTCGTATTCCTGTGATAGTGCTGAGCAGTAGCTGATTGTGCTCTGCCCCACAGGTGGGAGATCGGTAGATGCCACCCAGTAAGTGCTTGGTGTGGCCTACGGTGAAATGACACCATATGGAGTCTGGGAGTTCGATAAGTGGTGGGTCCGTTGCGCGCACACATTTAAGTTGCCTATCAAAGTATATAGCAACTCCCCCTCCTTCCTTATTATCCCTGTCTCTCCTGACCAGTACCATATCACCTATACTGATTTCATTGTCGGCGATAGTGGGGTTTAGCCACGTTTCAGTAAGAATGATTATTTTCAGTTGAAGGTGTGCTTGGAGATTTCGGAGTTCACCTACTTTCCCTCTCAGCCCCCTCACATTGCTATATAGGCAACTGACAGTGAGTCTAACAACCTCAGAGTGTTGTGGGGTAGTTGACGTGAAACCGTCTGCTGGTGGGGGACTTGATGTTGGAACTAGTTGGCCGATTCCGATAGAACCGGCCCGTTGTAGTTTTTTTCAATGGATTTAGGCAGGACACTTGGGAGACACAGACTATTATTCTCAGAGCTGCATCGCTCTAGTGTCACCGAAGCTTGGGGTCGTATTAAAGCCTCAGTTTGCTGCCTCCTTATATTTCTGGGTCTGCTTTCACAGCATCGGATGTGTCCTCCAATTTTTCCCTTGGTCTCATACCACCGTTGAAGTGATATGGACAACTGCTCCGGGGAGTTGAATGTGACACACAGCAGCTTTGGAGAGTTAATCAATGTTAGATGAGCGGGACGAGGTAGTCGGAAAATGGAGATGGCTCCAGAAGCGCCAGGGGCCATCTGAGATGACAGCCATCTCCATTGTTGTACGTCGTGCATGTGTTTTTCACAAGCAGTGCCGGTTTCCAGCTCCGGAACACCGTGTACCACCATAGAGGTGGAAGGCATCAGTTCCGGTGACTCCCTCGCCATATTTCTGACGGCCCATGGTCTATCTTGCCGCGCTCTTATGTTAGAACTTCTGTCCAGGGCTAGTACCTGAGCCATTAACAGTACTTTTTCGGCCTCTTCGGCAGAGTCCAGTGTAACCCGTAATGGGGGTGGCTTACCCTGAGGCGTGTGGACACCCCTGTACAGTCTGCACAGTTTTGCTGAACTAATGTTCAGACCTAGTTTGCCACACAGGTTGGACCACTGTTCCTGATCAAACAGGGCCCGTTGTTCGAGCAAGCTATCCGTGCTCACAGGTACGTTAAAGAGGATGAGAGAGTTAGACCGACTACCCTCAGACTTAGGTTTTGCCTTCGGCTTCTTGCAGTCCTTTGCATCATTAGCAACATTAGGCTTCGTCGGTACCTGGACAGCCTTTTTTGTGTTGCCAGGCTTGCTAGTGGATGCAAGTGGTGCCTTTGTAATTTTGCCCTCCCTTGATGTGGATGGAACCTTGCTAATCTTCACCTTGTGAGAATTGGCATTTCCAGTCAGTAGGGCTGGTGTGTCCTTCTTTAAGTCTTTGACCAGTTTCGGCAGTGCGAGTTTAGCAGGGGGGAGCTGCATGATACTGTGTTGGGGCACAAGAGCGTGTTATTTCTGCTATCCGCAGACACGCTTTGTGGGACTATGCCAGGGCGACAAAGTGGACACACGTACCAAAACCATGGGCATGGGTTATTTCTCATAAACTCATAGTATGCTTTCGGTACTTCTTTGTCACAACGGCAGTGCACCCATCGTTTGCAAAAATTACATTCAAACGCTGAATCAGTTTTAGAAACTGTGATGTTGCACGCCTGGCATTCATCCCCTTTCCTTGATGACGCCTTCGAGGTCTTATGACGTCTTGAACGTTTCCTTTTAGGCTTGATGTGTTTCACACACTGGCCTACAGTTGATGCAGGTGTAGAATTCTGTCCTTGTGGTATTGCCTGTGCCGTTTCAGTACTAGACTGTGGCAATGCAGGCGTTGTATCAGGGCAGACTAAAGCTACACGAGTCTTTAGGATCGGTATGCGGGAAGGGGTTGAAATCCCTGGATTTTTTCCTTCCCTGGCTGAAGCCCTTGTGACTACAGAGTACGGTATTCTAGTGGCTTTTTTAAGGCTGCTTTCAACAACCATATTAACAATCACTATAAATTATGCTATGTACGTCTAAGAGAGCAACAGTTTCTAACCAAAAGAGCAAGAATAAGACTGAAAAAGTGTAAGGCAAGGAAAAGAAAAGGTTTTCGACTTTACCTAGTACTTTCTGAATGATCGGCTTCACGGCAATCACGTGGTAGACCAACAAGTCTTGTTTCTCTGAACGAGTGAGGAAGATGCTGCTACAAAAGTAGCACCTGAAGCTTTGGCAGTAGTTCGAGACAGCTGGACTTACCACACAGAGATTTACTATGTAAGTAATGGTTGAATTAAATTCACCGGCTAGGAAGATCAGGTTTCCCAAACGGATAATTCACAGAATTGGTATTTTCCGGTTGGAGAGTAAAAAGCACGTCGTACCTGCTGACTGGAAAGAAATCAAGGTTGTACCTTTACAGAAATCATCTTCTGGAGCAGGTATAAAGTTTAGACCAGTCGCCATAACATCTCCTTATTTGAAAACTATGGAGAAACGTTTTTTGAATATTCTTAAACCTTCTTTAAAAGCTTTTAGTGACCCTAAGCAGTTTGCTTATAAGTGTGGAAGAAGTACATTAGATGCAGCCATTGTACTACACCACAATATTTTTTCCTGCCTTGATAAGGGTGCTAAGTTCGTTCGAACGGCTTTTTTAGACTATACTGCAGCTTTCGACTCTGTTCCTAGGACACTTTTATTAGGAAAGATGATTTCAGCTCAAACAGAGTCCTGGGCAACTAGATGGCTGTCTTCTTATTTTAAAGATAGGAAACAGCATACTGTTTTGGCTGGAAAGCGCTCCACTTCTCAGCTAACTGAAAGTGGTGTGCCTCAAGGTGCAGTACCTTCTCCATTTCTTTTCTCTTTCTTTTTGCATGACCTTCCGAACTCACCCAAAGTTAACTTCATTAAGTATGCTGATGACCTGACCGTTTCTGTCCCTGTAGTTGTCACATCGGATTGTTCCTATATGAATGGCTTCCTAGCTGAAGTTAAGGATTGGTCTCGCTCAAATGGTCTTAAACTAAATCCAACTAAATGTAACACTGTTGATTTCAGCTTGAGAAGTGAAAAAGACATGCATGGATTGATTCAATCTCATGATTGTTGTAACATTGATGGTACCATGATTGAGAGTAAGTCAAGTGTTTCTTATCTTGGCATTAGTTTCTCGTCAAATCTTTGCTGGTCGTCTCATATTCTTATAGTTTCTAAGAAAGTTTTCCGTCTGACTTATTACATAAAGAAGTTGAGACACTCAGGTATAACTCGATCTCTTATCATACAATTTATTAATTCATGTGTTTTGCCTATCATTCTTTATTGTTCTCCATTATTCTTCCCTGGGCTACTCAAGAAAGATCATATAATACTACGAAGAACATTGAGGGCTGTAAGTAGGGTCAGTGCTATCCCTTTGACTCAACTAAATGACACTGTTGTCAATAGGCATATGAATTCTTGTAAACACTTAGCTAAAGTTATCTTATCTGATAGTGAACATCCTCTTTATTCACAATTGTTTCCTTGTATCTCTTCGGGTAAGACCAGATGAAATTTTAT